TTGAGGTGGCATTTCACTGTGGTTTTGATTGGTATTTCTGTAGTGATTGGTGATTTTGATAGTGGCTTTCCTAACGGGTTTGAGGTGGCATTTCATTGTGGTTTTGATTGGTATTTCTCTAATGATTGGTGATGTTGGATGTCTTCTATGTGCTCCTTGGTCATTTCTTCTTTAGAGAAATGTCTGTTCATTTTTAATCAAGTTATTTGAGTCTTTGTTGAGTTGCAGGGTTTTTTTAATATGTATATATATTCTGGACATTGGATACATCACTTTCAAATATTCTCTTAAGGTTCCATAGGTTGCCTTTTCATGCCACTGTTTGTTTCATTTGATGTGCAGAAGTTCTTTGGATTTTTTTTGCTTTGTTTTGTTTTTTGAGACAGAGTCTCACTGTGTCACCCTTGATAGAGTGCTATCGTGTCACAGCTCACAGCAACCTCCAACTCCTGGGCTCAAGCAATTCTCTTCCCTCAGCCTCCTAAGTAGCTGGGACTACAGGCGTCCGCCACAACACCTGCCTATTTTTCGTTGCAGTTGTCATTGTTGTCTAGCTGGCCCAGGCTGGGTTGGAACCCACCAGTCTTGCTGTATGTGGTTGGCACCATAACCAGTATGCTATGGGTGCTGAGCCTGATATGCAGAAGTTTTAAAGTTTGATGTCCCACCTTCTGTAGTTCATAGGCATGATGATTGGGTTTTCGTGCACAGGTGTGAGATGTGCGTCCCACAAATCTTGTTGTTAGGACATCAGCACATTACGCGTCTTACATGAAAAAAACAAAAAATGAAGTTTGATGTCCCATTTGTCTATTTTTGTATTTGGTGTCTATTTCTATCTCAATTGCTGAAGCACACGTCCTATTTCTTTGGGAAAAATACATTAAAAATGTGTAAAGAGCTTAGTAAAATGAATTTTGAAACCCTTGGGAAATTTCTTGAAATATGTAGTATGGAAATTATATTTATACATCATAACTCAGTTCAGCATTGTAAATATGAGAAGCCCGTTTATACTACCAAGTAAAAAGAAATGGGGGAAAGAAAAATGGAGTATCCCTCTCGATATCTAGAAGAGGGATAGCAAGTATCTGGCATGTGTGTCACATTTTCTACAGCCCTGCTGGACGAAGACAAAGAAATATCACCCTTTTTCTTGTTAAACCCCCATGCGCTTCAGAACCCTTCTCAATACAGAGCTTCAGGCAACTCCCATTCACAATCCTATGAGGCAACTTATTAGATAAAATCTATTGGTCATCCTGTCCTCGAAAACGCTTCCAAAAGCAGGTTAGTTAGAGCAGAATTCCTCTAACATAGCCCACTAGAAAGCCATAGCTGCAGATTCATAACAATTACAAACATGAAATAAACCCACAGAGAAATCCTCCCAGACAGAAGTCACTTCACCGATGAATCCTCCATTTTCTAAATCGATACCCACAGAACCCTTTTTGTCCCATTGTTCCTACTAAAATACTGTGAAATTAGATTCGTGTGAAATAGTATTACTGAAACAGGTCTCTTTCTAAAGAAAGATCATTTATAACATTGCTGTCATTTCTCTGGAAAACGTTAGTCAACTTTAGTTTATTTGACATCTGTCTTGGGCAAGTTGGTGTCCACAAAATGTTTAATTTTTAAAGGTTATAAAAACAAGAATATTTTTTAAAAACTAACAGTATTATCACCATATCCTCAGTTGGGAATGAGAATTTCAAAAGTATGAGGAGAAAGGGAATTCCAGAACACTCTCCAACTTAGTGATTATTTTAAGCCCAAATTATTTTTAAAAGACTGAATAAGCCACAAAACAGATGTTATTAGGAGGATATCTGCCTGGCATTTTATTCAAATGTGGAATCGTGGCTGCTGAAGCCTACTGCCCGGAGTCTAATGCGTGTACCTCTAGGTTCCTAGGTGTTTACTTAGATACAGTTTGGGTAAGCATTTGCCATTGAAGTGCTTCTTCTCAAAGGTCATAGAAATCAAGCCATTAACAAGCATACCAACAGTTCCTCTGAACAGGCTTAATGTTTGCCACGTCCAGATAAAACACCCGTTAAAAGAACTCAGCCTAGCCTTTCTCTTACAGACTATCCCTCTGTGTGATGCCAAAACATAAAAAGCTGATTTCTTAAATAAAACCTAGTCCAGAAGCAGAATTATTATAAATAGATATCAAAATCCCAGTGGTTCTCAATATGTCAGCATCACTTGAGAGCTTGTCAGAAATGCACGTTCTTGGGCACCCCCAGCCCCAGGCCCCTGGGTGTGGGACCAGCCACTTCAGCAGGCCCTCAGGTGACCGATGCACTGTGTGCTGCTATGGCTGGAGAACTGTTGCTTGCTCTCCTGGTGCCTATTAGCCTGGTCTGTTTTACCTAGACCCCTTGAGGCTTCTTTTTCTGTGTGATCTTGATAATAACAGAATTTCCCCAATTTGAGGAGCAAACTACAGTTTTCCAAATATAACATCTAATGAGCAATCAGACAGTGACCCTCCCTCTGTACCAAAATAAGAGTACAGAAGCTGTCTATGTATTTTTAGAACACAAAAAAGAAAATTTGCTAGCATCTTCAGGAAAACCAACTTTTAAAAAATCTGTTTTATCGTTAGATTTAGATGATGGGTCTGTTAAAAAAAAAATAATAATAGGGTAAGAGCATAGCTATAAAGTTGACTAATATTATCTGTGGCAGCTTAAAATAATGTAGCCATTCCCCAGCCAGGAAAACAATCCAAACTTATATAAAGAGGACATTTTAAGGAGGGAGGCAGGAAGCTGCCTCCCAAGCCAAATAAAAGGGCATCTTTGCTCTCCAGATTGAAGGAGTGTCATGTCCCACACCATGTGGCAGGTGGAGGGACTGTAGGAGGCTATCTGTTATGCAGAGGTAGCACCTGGCACCAGGCCATGCTGGTGGCTTGAGGACTCCAGTCGTGACCACCACCTTCCCGCAGGGCTCTGCAGTCTGCCTGCCCCCTTGGAGTCCATCATATTCAATTTCATAACAATGTAAACTGAGCTGAGGAGCCAGGGCTCCCCAGCCAGGCATATTTTAAGACCAGGTAGCTGGGTGTGGTGGCTCACGCCTGTACTCCTAGCACTCTGGGAGGCCAAGGTGGGTGAATTGCTTGAGCTCAGCAGTTAGAGACCTGCCTTGGCAAGAGTGAGACCCTGTCTCTAAAAATAGCTGCATGTTGTGGGCACTTGTAGTCTTGGGAGGCTGAGGCAAAAGGATGCTTGAGCCCAAGAGTCTGAGGTTGCTGTGAGCTATGATGCCATGGCACTCAACCCCAGGATGACTAAGATTCTGTCTCAAAAAGTAAAAATAGGGGATAGTGCCTATACCTCAAGGGAGTAGGGTGCCAGCCCCATATGCCAGAGGTGACGGGTTCAAACCCAGTGCTGGCCAAAAACTGCAAAAAAAAAAAAAAAAAAAAATTAATTAATTTAAAAAAAACAGTAAAAATAAAGGCTTGTAACCTATAGCTCAGTGGCTAGGGCACCGGCCACATACACCAAGGATAGCAGGTTTGAACCCGGCCTGGGCCTGCCAAACAACAACTACAACAAAAAAGGCAGGCATTGTGGCAGGCGCCTATAGTCCCAGCTACTTGGGAGGCTGAGGCAAGAGAATTGCTTAAGCCCAAGAGTTTGAGGTTGCTGTGAGCTGTGACGCCACGGCATTCTATGCAGGGCGACATAGTGAGACTGTCTCAAAAAAATAAAATAAATAAATAAAGTAAAAATAAAACTCTCAGGTCATGTTTCCATTTTAAAGTGGACTTCTAGTTTTTAGATCACAGTGATGTACTTTCTAGAGCAGTTTCTCCACCTTGGCACTTACTTATATTCTGGGCTGGATAATTCTTTTTTTTTTTGAGAGTTTCACTCTGTCACCCTGGGTAGACTCCTGTGTATGCATCACAGCTCACAGCAACCTCAAACTCCTGGGCTCAGGCTGTCCTCTGGCCACAGCGTCCCAAGTAGCTGGTATTTAGGCACCCGCCAGAATGCCCAGCTAGTTTTTCTGTTTTTAGCAGAGGTACAGTCTAGGTTTTGCTCAGGCTAGTCTAGAACTCAAGGGATCCACCTGCCTTGGCCTCCCAGAGTGCAAGTTACAGGCACTCGCCACGGGTTGGGCCAGGGCTTCGTAATTCTTTGTTGTCAGAGTCTGTCCTGCACAGCGCTGGACATTTAGCAGCATTCCTGGCTCCTGTCCGCTAGACGCTAGTAACAACCCCCAATCGGGACAACCAAAAATGTCTGCGGATAGTGCCAAATGTGTTCCAGGGAGGGGGAGACACCCCACCCACACCCCTAAATTGAGAACCACTATTCTAGAGAGATTTTCCCCCCTTTCATGTTAGTGAAATCCTTCCCCCGTTCCTTATCTTCATTAAGCCCACCACTCCTCCGATTCCTGTCATTTTTCCTTACTTACCATCTCCCTTCACACGCACACAGAGTCTTTCTTTCCCTACCTGGACTGGTGCTCCTAGGCTGTCATCTCACTTGCTATTCTTCAACGTTCTTAACTCCCTGGCACCCCATTAACTACAGCCTCACTCATTCCCCCAAATTCCGCCCTGGATGGGTTCAGCTCCTGTGCTCAGATACCAAACCTGCAGACTTAGGTCTGCAGAAAGTCGCAGTCTCCCCGCAGCGAGCCCCAGGGAGGGAGGCAGTGGGAGGTTCTTGCCATCTGCTTCAGTCTTTTCCATTCCACTGTCTTAGCCTTTGAGATTATAAGGAACATACCATAGCCTGGGTAGCTTAGGAAACAAATGCTTATTTCTCGCAGTTCTGGAGAGGATCCATAAATTGCAGTTCCACAAAAATCAAGGCAATGATTTACCACT